TCTATAAATCCACCTCTCCACCAAATTAATAAAATATCACCCTCAATATGTGCTACAATACTTCCCAACCTTCCAAATACCCAGAGTCTTACACCTTCCCCTGGTGTATTAAATAATAAATCAAAACTCTATAACTTCCCACAGAAGTTATTATGGACATATTATGTATTATGGACATTATGTGAGCAGTATGAGACTGCGGAAGAGGGTATATGTAGATTATTGAAAAGGTTTATGTTAATGTTAGTTATAGTTTGTTGCATTATGAAATAATTCCTGTATAGAATATAGCCATGCTGTTTTACTAAAGAAGAACTTTTGTCACTTAGCCAAGTGAACCTGTGTTATCTTTGAACACCTGATCACATGCAGAAGTATTTCAAATCAACATATAAGGATACAATTATGGAAAAGCAGCACACAATATATAAACACAGATTTCTGAAATTTGAAAAACCAGAAGGTTCCATCAGAACAGATGGTATTTCACTACTATTTTGGCTATTTCCTCATATTAGCCATTCCATAGTGAAAAATCTGAACACAATGTGAAAACTCTGCTCTCATTACCATAGAAACCATAATGTTTACCTACTTATTTATACTTTTGAAGCCCCGTCCTACTAAATTATTAGTCAAAGCAGCAAAAACACATTTTTTTTTTAACTTACTAAACATACTAAAAATTAATAGGATTTACAGCTTAATTTCATATGATCTGTTTAGATATTGGATATGGCTAGTTAAAAAAACCTGAAGACATTTAAATGCCATTCTACCTCTGTATACTTTCTTTGTTTTGTAATAAGTGCTATTTCTTGGTCTAAAACTGTTTATTTTGTCTTCTCCATAAAGTTTTTAAAACTAACTTGCTGTCTTAGGAATGCTCTCTGGAATTTCATTTTTGAAAGTTGTTTGACTGTCTCCTGACATTTCTATTTAGTCTCTGTGTCAAAGCTGTCTTACATGTCATTACCTTAAAAGCCCCCATGTAAAAAGAGAACTTAGCTTCTTTGTTTTAGGTTTAGACATTATATAAATTCACCAATTTATGTTATTTGAAGTTGTAAAAACCAGTATTTTGTTCTGTATTCATAAAGCCGATAAATATAGACAGGCGGATGTATTCTTGCAACAGTACAGGACACCTGCCTGACTTCAACACACTGAGATTCAGTCTTACTAAATTACTAACTTCCATATTCTCAAGAACTGGCCCCATCTCACAAAGATTTTCTTATAAATTTAAAAGATCTCTGTGTGCAATGAGCTTGTCTGATAGACAGAAGCTCTGTAACCCCTGGGGTAGCTCTAAATGGTGCAATTCGCTCTCACACGGCACAGTGGACATCAAACTAGGGGTAGCTTTGGACCACAAAAGACCACCCATACTCAGGATTAGCGATTGGAATTTGTACATTTTATATATTGTTGATACATTTTAAATAATTGTTAATATTCATACAGGTCAACTGAACATCCTAAAAAAACAGTGCCTGCTGTAGGTATTGTAGGTGCTGCTTTGTTATATAAGTACAGTGCTAATAAAGTACTAACAGCAATACATTTGTAAATATAGTTTGTCTAATTAATACTGAACTGTCCAGCTGTTATCAGTTATTGGACATACTACTGCTCTTAACATTAACTTGTTAACCACTTGCCCTCCTGAGGATTTACCCCCCTTCCTGACCAAGCCATTTTTTTGCATTACGGCGCTGCATTATTTTAACTGACAATTGCGCGGCCATGCAATGCTGCACCCAAATGAAATGTACGTCCTTTTTTTTATCATGAATTGAGCTTTCTTTTGGTGGTATTTGATCGCCTGTGCATTTTCTATTTTTTGCACTAAAAAAAAGACTGACATTTTTGAGAAAAAAACAATATTTTTGACATTTTGCTATTAAACATGTCCAGTAAGAAATTTTTAAAAATCAAATTTTGTCAGAAATTTAGGCCAAAATGTATTCTGCTACATGTCTTTGCTAAAAAAAAAAAAACCCAATATGTATAAATTAATTGGTTTACATGAAAGTTATAGCGTTTACAAATGGCAGTATATATACTGAGATATTTTAAATATTATTTTTACTAGTAATGTTGGTGATCAGTGACTTATAGCTGTACTTCGGGACTGTGGTGGGCATTCTGACACTGGGGGAAACTGACTTGGTGTCACTGACATCCCCAGTGACACCAATACAGTGATCAGTGCTAATAAAAAGCAATGACACTGTACTAATGGCACTGGGCATCTGACATCTGGGGCGATCAAAGGGTTAACTGTGTGCTGGGTGTGTTTTACTATGGGGCTGTGTCTGTGTGCTTCACTGTTAACACACTGCTTTGCATGGCTGTGCTGTGCACAGCCATCCAAAGCAATGTGCGTGAGCTGACAGGGAGGAGCACTGTTTTGTTTAGTAACAGTTCTCCCTCACGTCGGAGATCCTCGGTCACCTTCGCCAATGAGTAATCAACGGCTGGGACCCAGTGATTGACAGCCATGGCCACGAATGGCAGCGCAGGTAGGGCACGTGCTTGTCTCATGCGTGCCCTCTACCCAGAAATGTATATCTGCTATAGGGCAGATGGGAAGTGGTTTACATCCCTCTTTCATCATTATTCAAACCTATGGGGTTAATTCATTAAAGCAGTAGAAGGTTTATTTAGCCCAGTGCATCTTTATTCAATTTAAAATACCTATTCATGCAGGAAAATTAAAATTATGTCAGCAAGGGGTGGTTGCATTACTAGAGTAGAGAGACCTCCTGAACCTGTTATTTCATGGGAAGAATCCTTCAGGAGTCAGGTATAAGGTAGATAAGATAAGCAATTCTGTCTGTTATATACCCCTGGACTAAAAAAGCATTTGCGCCTTATTATGGGGCAGGGGGAGTAATAAAAGGGGATTTTTACCAGCTGGCTTAGGTTCAGCTTTAAAATCACATAGAACATTTAAATGTTTAACAAAATGGGAAAACTTTAAACAGTTCCACTTTAAGTAGGTCATATAAATGGTGAAAAGCTGGCTTGTATGATCCAGCCACCAGCAATATTTGTTTATACCACAACACATGGATACTCTTTAGGCATGTATCCTATGAATTCAATAGCTTGTTTACAACAAATTTATCTAGGGTGATTAGTTATTAGCTAGGAAAAATCCAATCTAGCCAACAGTCACTTTCCCTCACTTCTCAAAGATCATAAATCTGACTTATCAAAGAACATCTAATATTATATAGTGTGTGAATACATGGCAGAGGAACCTCATCATCATAAATAATCAATATAACAATGCCAGTTGTAGTTCAAAATTATGATGCTTGATATACTCTTGCTAAATATTGTTGTTGTTTAATACATTTTCTACTTTAAATTTCATATCTATTGTTGTCAGTAATATTCCAACATAACAGAGGAGTACTACTTGGTCATACAGCACTGTGTGTGGCTTGTTTTGGCAATTTATATGTTCTTTTAACAAGTATATATAGACTGCCAACATTTATTTGGAATACAGCTCTTTGTTGGGCTGTTGATTGAGCTAGTGTGTGTTGTATGTCATGGTGGTGTTTATGTCTGAGCATTTGTGGTCTTTCATCCATACACATTCAGAAGCTACTTCTGTCATAAATGGAGCTGGGATTGTTTCACCGGTACAGACTTTTTTTTGCTAATAATTCAAGGATGTAACCATATTTTACAGTATTTGTTTAAATTTTTTAAATTCTCATTTTTTACATTAATGAATAGAAAGTAGTTATTGATACACTCCAGCCACAGCTACAATTTAAAACCCAAGATGCGTACAGGGAGCACAGCCTACCCATGTTCAGTTATTTAGTAATTCAGTTTATCATTCCAGCATTGTTATAATGCACTAGTACACCTACAGTAAATCACTTATTTGGTAACACTGATTTGAACATCTCTGATCTGATCTGATTGTGAGGCAAAAGAGTTATCCTTCAACACACCCTCTGCAAGTTGTTTGCTCCCAATGTAGATTAAATATGATGGGGGTAAGAGAAGGACAAAGAGAGAAAATTACATATCACAGGCTTCATAAAATACTATCCTGATGATCCTGAAGTGTTCTTTGCATTGTGGGTGCAGTGGGTTACAAAAGTCTAAAGCTGACCCTCAAACTGAATGAGAGAAATCACTTTATTGCCCCATCTACTCCAAACAGCATGGATAGACAAAATCTGCAGCACCATTATTGTTTAATAACTGCCAGCGTCCATGGCTGTCACAATACCAGAAAAATGCCTCCATCTGATTGGGTGCAGGTGCTGTTCGGCTGAATATTTTCCAACCAGCTTCTTTGATAAAAGTTGATTGAAAGGTCACTCAAAGAATTCATTTTAGTCAATAAGCAGATGAAGCAATTAACATATATGTACAATATTTTGACTGTTCAGTCCTGAGATATAAATAATCCTACCAGACAGCACAGTAAGGTCTGCGACTGGACTTTACGGTGCTGCAAGTAAGCATTACAGCTAGGTTACTCCCCAAACCCCAGTCTCTGACTGGACAGTAAAGGAGCAACAACACAGAGTCATCCTTCTGCTCACTCTACTCTCTCCATCTGTCAGAAGGTTTCTTGTCAGCAAAAGTACCATACAGCATGACTGACTGTCCCCTAATGCTGTCTCTCCTTCTCAAAGTATTACTATTTCTGTTCGTAAGATTGTGATGTTTCCAAGTCAAAATCAGATACTTACACTATACAGTTTTTAATGAACATTTAACTGCAATAACAGATGCTTTTTAACCACTTGTCTACCGGGCACCTTCATGCCCAGGCCAATTTTCAGCTTTCAGCGCTCTTGCACTTTGAATGACAATTGCGCGGTCATGCAAAATTTTACCCATATGAAATGTTATTTTTTTTCACACAAATAGAGATTTCTTTTTGTGGTATTTAATCACTGGGTGTGTTTTATTTTTTTGCACTATAAGCAAAAAAAAGAGCAAAACATTTGAAAAGCACTGATGGGCACTGATGAGGTGGCATGGATAGGCAGCACTTACGGGCACTGATAGGCTGCACTGATGAGATGGCACTGAGGAAGCGGCACTGGTGGGTATTGCTGAGGAGGCACTGATGATGCTGCACTGATAGGCAGCAATGATGGTCACTGATAGGTGGCACTGATGGGCACAACTTTTGGATGGCACTGCTGGGCAGTGATGGGTGGCACTAATGGGAGACACTGCTGGAAGGCACTGCTGGGCACTGGTGAGTGGCACTGCTGTTTACTGATGGGTGGCACTGCTGGGCGGCACTGCTGGGCACTGCTCATCAGTGCCCTGATGATCAGTGCAGATGTCCTCTGTGTCATTTGACAGTTATTGGAAGTACTTTCCTCACGCTGTGACAGTGTGAGGAATGTGCTGCTGATAACCAGCAACTGTATTTACATTGTGATCTGCTGTGTCATTGGACATCATATGACGCCCTCCCAGAACTGGACAACTGCATTGTAGCCATCATTCGTTGGCAAGTGGTTAATGTCTGCCTAAGTTCAGTTTTAAGAAAGACTGAGTGAATTCTGTGATTTAGAACAGCTCCAGAGTTCAGAAAGAAAATAATTCCTCAACAATAACTAGTGTCTGATGTTGATAGGCATTGGGCTCTTCCCTACTATTTGTACCCATAAAGTAGTACAGAAATGTGTGAGTTAGGGGAGATTTATTTGACAAGGGATAGATGAGTTGCTCTCTGTCTCTGGATCTTACTCCACTATGTTGGTCCTTCTCAGCTGGCTGCTGCCTCTGAGTTCAGGTGGCCAGCTACCGAGGATATGCAAGGCCTCCAGCCACACTGTGTGCTTGATCATGCAGTCTTCTGGGAGATGTGATGTAAATATCCCAGGAGGCTGCAGGACCAAGGGCCTGTTGCTCTGGCCTAAGCCAGAATGGCGTCAGGGGCTGTGGGGGAAAAAAAATAATTTAAAACAAAAAATAAACAAATACTGGAGAAAAATGGCATATCTGCTTGTGGATTGAGAAGTTATTTAAACGGAATAAACTTCCTCTTAGAAGTTAAGTTCCACTTTAGTAAATCACTCTGCATCTCAGTTATACAGCAATAATAACACTTTACTCATTGTAGACTTTGTTTCTATTTTTTTTTTGTTTGGAATTACACCATCCACATATTTCAGCCGTTATATACAGTTTTCATTAAAATGTAATTTATGCTTATTTATCACATATTACAATTGACTTGCTAAAGGATAAGGCTGGTCACCTGGCTCATTGAAGCCATGTTCACTTCAATCATGTGCAAAGAGGATTCCAACTCCAAAGACATGTTGGTACGTTAATTGGTTCCTGTCTAAATTGGCCCTAGTATGTGTATGTATGGGAGTTAGGGGCCTTAGATTGTACTCCCTTGAGGGTTAGGGACTGATGTGAATGTACAATATATATAGGTAAAGCGCTGTGTAAATTGATGGCACTATATAAGTACCTGAAATAAATACAGAAATATTCCTGCACATAAACAGAACTACACTGAGCTAAGTGAACATTCAACCTTCACATTCAACCCTAATGCGTGCTTTCAGATTTGCATATGGTTTCTAAGCCCAGGAGAATTTCAGTTGACCTTTCATTTCCTTGCAAAACCTTATATCTGGAACAATTTACTAAAGTCTATCAAAAGAACAACTTGTTAATGACCTTTCAGAAATGTAGCCATGACACATGGGTACAACAATAATATATATCAGTTTAATTACTTCTGTCATGTGTGGGCTTTAAAATGAATGATGACTGCAACACAACCATTTGATATGAATAAGCAATTCTGAACATATGACAGCATTTGAGACTGACATATGAGACTGGAATTATAATTTTTTACTGTGTGTATATATATATATATACACACATTTAGACATGGAAATCTTCTGTATTTACTAAACAAATTTAAGTAAAGATAAGAGAAAAGTATTTTAATTATTTACTTTTATGTGTAAGTTAATAATGAACTTTCAGTTTTGTAAGTGAAGATCCCAAAAGCAAAAATGTGCTCCTGCACTGTGCAATATTTTATAACATCTTTAATTGCAGATTAATTAAGTGTTCTTGCATGGCAAGATCACTTACTGTTATCTCACATATATATTCTTATTATTATAGCCAAATTTACCACCCTAACTCCTCCCACAGTTTTTACACTACATAGACAGTAATATACCGAAACGTGCGGATTGTTCCTGATTGGTGTGCTATTACTTTGTGGAACGTTTCCCCGAATGGTTCACGAAATATTGGCGTTTTTCTGGTGAAATTGGTCCCATAGGAATGAATGGCGGAATGTTCAAAGCTAGAGTGGGAGCTGACAAAAGCTAGAGTGTGAGCAGAAAAATCAGGACATGATTTCTAAACTGCCATCGCGCCCTCATTTTCAAGCCCACCTACACAAATCATATATCAAAACGTTCAGCTATCCCTGCTGCCACTAAAAATGTCCACGGCTAAGCCATAGTCCTGATAGTTTTCACAATATGACCATTTGTTTGCAACTCACACCGCCCGTTGACATTCATTGAAACTCCACTCTAGCCACCTCAAATTTGAAGGGCAATTTCTAAACTGCGCTGTGACTTCATTTTTAATATTTCAGAGACATACTCCAACCACACAACAGTTACTCAAGCCACTCCACCCAGTTACTCCGCCCACTCCAGTTGTAGACTACTGATGGAGGCAAGAACACTTCACACAATTTCCCCAGAAATTGTAGCTTTTCTAGTTATCCAATACTATCTTGAACAGCTGATTAATTATCCTATAGTATGTGGTGCAAATGAAAGTATGTGTGTACTATATGTGTGTATGTTTTGTTCATCTTTAAGATATATAGAGAAAGAACTGTCACAGGTCAGTTCTGTGTTTATTTAAATTACTGACAGGTTTTTCTTTCCATATAAAAAGAAACATAATTGAAGCCTGAACCAACATGTCCAAACAGAAAATTCCAGTATTGTGGACTTGATCTCATACAGAGAAAAGCTGACACTGCATTATCCACCCTTTATAGTCAGATACAACTGCGCAAATAGTGGTGTCTCCGATTAAGGACACATTGGCATATATACATGCAAAATGCCTTTCTAACTCATACATATTTACTAATACGTGTCTGTGAAAACAATGTGTTACCCATTAGAATTGTTTTCCTTTTCAAAGAGAGGCATAATGCATTTGTATCTTGCTAATGTATTGTTTTCTGTTTTTTCCCCTGTAATCCTAATACTAAAATAATATTGAATAACCAAAATTGCAACATGTACAAAACAAATATTTTGAGAGAGGCCTTGTGTTCCTAGAATTTTAGTTTGAACTAAAAAAAAAATCTAGCTTTAGTCTCACAGCCCATATACACCTAAATGGTATTTGTTACATTTATACTGCTAGTACCAATGACAGATAAATCTGAACAAAACATACAGTATACCAAATGATCTGGGAGCAACAATGATGTGTACATTCAACCACATGTCAACAGATCAATCTTTCAGCAAACTTGATTACCATATACCAAATGTTAGTGTGTAAAAAATAAAGTCCAAAATCAAAGTCCAAATAAAGTCCCAAAAAAATTAAAAAAAAAAAAAAAAAAGGATTCCACAAGTATTAATTAATAGAATCAATCTTTATCTGTAATTTCTCAATTCTTCATATCTCCAAACCGCCTTTGTGTTATACTCCAAACAAAATCTTCATATACCTCAAAGAAAAAAAAAACTCAAAATGTGTATTATCCTAAAAAAAATCACTAAAACGTGCCACACGTGTTTCATGCAAACAAAAACTAACTAACGTGCCACCGCAGACCAGGGATCAGTATGTGTCATAACACTTTATTGCAACTTTATAGCAACTTACATTAAAATAAGATGAGATCAGCTTCCACACCAAGAAAATTATTCCACAATCCTGCCTCTCCTCAGAAGTGTGTAGGTATCCTCACCATCCCACTCCCGAGGGGGAATAAATCAACTGTGGTAGGTTTCCCAGTAGCCAAACACATGAGGATTCCAGGACAGGCACAACCGCGTGAAAGATTGATCTGTTGATATATGTACTTCAGGGGAAGGACTGTGAAAGTGACTTGGTGGGGTGTCCTAATTAAAGAAGGATAGTGCTGTACTTATAATATTCAACCACATGTGTCCCAGGATCACAGTAAGTTAGAGCCTGTCCATCACTTAACTCTCTGGGACTTGATACCCTACATTTCATTGGCATGGCTAAATCAGAAAATCACTGTAATTTACTAGCCCTGTAAATGCTCCAAAGTCTTAGGCAGCTTCTTGGTAAGTGATGATGACACCATCAGTAAGAAGAAAAGCTACTTCAGTACTGTGTTTGAGGAGGTTTCCTATGACACCTGTCAATTGCAATTGTCATCTAAAGATTCTATAGCACTAATGCACATTGTGTCCTAACATTTTCTTTTTTTTGCTAGTTTGCTGGCAGATATCATCATATAAAATCCACCTTATTTAACACAGGCTGTCACCCTTATAGTTTTACTTCTGAAGAAGCATCACTTTAAAGGTCTCTTTTGTGTAAAGGTCCAAAATGTCAGAGTGTAGGGAGACACGGCAGAGGCAACAGAGGCTTCCTGATTGTATGTTACTTCTTATCTTATCCAGAGAAATAAAAATAAATGTCTTCACAAGTTGCATACATTTTTTTTTGGTGCTGTTTAAATTTTAAGTTGTGATGGTTGTTGTTGTTGGTGGTGGTAGGTGTATATGTAAAGTATACACAACCATATGGACTTTAAAATCTGTGGTCATCAGCAGCAGCACACTGAAAATGGCATTCAAAGCACAGATCTGAAATACTGAAAAAAACTATTCTACTGTGCTAGAATCTTTCAAACACCAATTTAACATCTAATGAAAAGTCACAATATATTGGTGAAAAATATGTAAAATGTCCAAATGAGGAGCAGATTTTTACATTTAAAAAATTAGGCAAGATTGTAATAATGTTGACTAAAAATGTACTGACCCTTTAGATTGATAGGTAGCCACCTGTGCAAGAAGTCCATCCGTGAAATTTCCTTGCTACTAAATATTTCACAGTCAACTGCTAGTGGTATTATAACAAAATGGAAGCAACTTGGAACAACAGCAAGCACGTAAAATGACAGAGCGGGGTCAGTGCATGCTGAAGTGCACAGTGCACAGAAGTCACCAACTGACTGCAGAGTCAATAGCTAAAGACCTCCAAACTTCATGTGGCCTTCAGATTAGCAGAACATCAGTGTGTAGATAGCTTCATGGAATGTGTTTCCATGGCCGAGCAGGTGCATCCAAGCCTTACATCACCAAGTCCAATGCAAATCGTCGAATGCAGTGGTGTAAAGCATGCCGC